TTATTGGAGGAAAAGAAAAGAAACAAGAAGAGAGATTACAGCAGTTATTGGAGGAAAAAGAAACAAGAAGAGAGATTACAGCAGTTGTTGGAGGAAAAAGAAAAGAAACAAGAAGAGACATTACAGAAGTTATTGGAGGAAAAGAAAAGAAACAAGAAGAGAGATTACAGCAGTTGTTGGAGGAAAATAAAAGAAACAAGAAGAGAGATTACAGCAGTTGTTGGAGGAAAAAGAAAAGAAACAAGAAGAGAGATTACAGCAGTTGTTGGGAGGAAAAGAAAAGAAAGAAGAAGAGAGATTACAGCAGTTGCTCGAGAAAAAAGAAAAGAAACAAGAAGAGAGATTACAGCAGTTGTTGGAGGAGAAAGAAAATAAACAAGAAGAGAGACTACAGCAGTGGTTGGAGGAGAAAGAAAATAAACAAGAAGAGAGACTACAGCAGTGATTGAAGGAGAAAGAAAATAAACAAGAAGAAAGATTACAGCAGCAACTCCAGGAAGAAAGTCTCCAACAGTTGCAGAAAAGTCAGCAACAACTTGAGGAGATCGGGTGGCGCAGTTGGGTCGGAAAAATAGACCAGTATAATTATGATATTGAATATAGAGAAGGAAAATCTCATGGAAATGCCGATGGACCGAGCCGAAGACCCTGCAGAAATGACTGCAGACAGTGTTGCAAAAGAGAGGTTCAACTAACCAGGTGTCATCAAGCTGAAGTCAAAGTGACTGAAGAAGTTGATTATGGTGAAATGGAACTAGGTATAGATATTAAAGCAGAGCAGGAGAAAGATCAAGATTTGAAGCCAATGATTGATTTTCTAAAAGCAAGTGTACTGTGCACTGCTTGGGAGAAGGTGTCTAGCTTAAGCCCTGTGACAAAGAACTATTGGGCACAATGGGACCAGTTGAAGCTTGAAGATGGTATTCTTGATGACCTGGCAAACAGTTATACCGAAAAATTTACGGGAAGTTGTGTTGCGTCAATCCCATGATAGTTTAACAGGAGGACATTTTGGAGTTAAGAAAACATTGAGTCACCTACGACAAAGATTTTACTGGATAGGTATGAGGCAAGATGTGGAAGAATGGTGCAGGACATGCAGTATATGTTGTGCTAAAAGGGGACCCAAGCAGAAGGGACGTGCTCCAATGAAGTTATATCAAGTTGGCGCACCAATGGAAAGAGTAGCTGTTGACATTGCTGGTCTTTTGCCTCCACTCGTGCTGGAAATAGGTACATTTGTGTGGTGATGGATTATTTCACCACGTGGCCTGAGGCATATGCAATACCAAATCAGGAAGCTACAATTGTAGCTTCGGGTATTAGTGATTTCTTCTTCAGATTTGGTATGTCATACAAACTGCATTCGGATCAAGGCCGTAACTTTGAATCAGCTGTGTCCCATGAATGCTGCAAGTTGTTTGGCATACGAAAGACCAGAACAACGCCACTTCACCCACAGTCTGACGGGATGGTAGAAAAGTACAACTGGACACTGGGACAGGAATTGGCAAAGTTTTGTAATAGCCGCCAAGATGACTGGGATGTCTTACTCCCTCCACTATTCATGGCCTATAGGACATCAGAGTATGAAACTACTGGATACACTCCAGCAATGTTGAAAATGTGTCAGAGTTCGTGAAAGTGTTATCGGAAAGGATGTATAATATTCACCATCAAGTGCGTTCAAACTTGAAAACGTCTGCTGATTCGATGAAGCTATGTTATGATAAGAAGTCTACTGAGGTCAGCTTTGTACCAGGTGACAAGGCGTGGTTGTATAATCCCAGGAAGACCAAAGGGAAGTCTCCTAAGTTGTGTTCTCCATGGGAAGGCCCATATGACATAGTGGATCGTCTCTCAGACGTGACTTTTCGAATAAAATGTGGTCGGCGAAGTAAGCCAAAGATGGTGCATGCCAACAGACTTTGGGGTTATCGCGGTCCAGGATACTTCAGCTGGGATGAAGTGAACAATGGAACAAAAGATGCCGCTGAAGACGTGTCACCTGGAAAGGCCACTGTCAAGGAACAAACTCTACTCGGTTTTGAGAAGGGAAACAGTGAAGCCCTTTATGAAGTTACTACCACTGATGTGACTGTTACCGATGATAGGACAATTCCCGATGGAGCAGATGAACCTCACGTGAAGCAGAAGCCAACGAGATGAAGACCAGTACGGAAAAAGATGCGTCCTGTAAAATTAAGAGACTTTGTTGAATTTTAATTTTGTGTTTGTAAATTCTGTACATTT